ATTTGAAAATATAGTGATTTTACGAATTCGACCCATGTTGGCGAATCGTCGAACATTCCCCAGACAATTGAAGAGATGATGTAGATCATTAGATATCTTTTAAATATGGCGGTGATAAGTCTCAGTATAAGATGGTGTTCATAAATATTGAGTGTTGGGTACACATAAAAAAAAAAGAAGTTTTTTAATTCGTCGGGGTCAATTAGAAGCGAACGGTCTACTGCCTACCCTTTCTTGCTCATTTGAATCATCTCATTAGGTATTCAAGAATTTAATCACTCAATTCACCTCATGATTCTCACGTTTGAGCGTCCAGATTATTTCACCCTCAACAAATAATTTCGTTACCCTATCTCTGCGTGACTCGTAATATTCCGTCCACTTTTCTCCTCTTTTTTCCCCAGTCTCCGCTGTTTCCAGATGAGTTTTAAAAATTAAAAAAAAAAAATTGACTACTCGATTGCGGCCCCTTGGGCCATTTGACCCTCACCAAAACGTAAAATGGTAGCGTGGCCACCGGTTACCACCGAAGGAACTCCATCCACCGGAGTTCCTTTGATTGTCACAATTTCAATTCCAGCCAGGTCAACTAACGTAGCGAGACTAACAGCCAATCAGTTGATGAAGTAATTAGACTGACACCAGGCTCGAACAATCTACCCGGTAACGAGGTACTTTCTCCTCGTAACCATACAAAACTATCAGTTACATCAAACTTCAAATGGCATCATCATGCTACATATGTCATCAGACAAATTCATTTGATGGTTAAATTTACGCGACACTGAAACTTTTCCGTCAAGCATTACCCCCAAAGTACTTCAGCCGTGACAACTTTTGTGTTATACTTATACTTGTGAGTCATCTTCCCTTCCCTCTATTATTGATACTTACGGAACAAAGTTTACGGGTTAGTAGCGTACGATTACGTTTAATCCCACTATATTGATAACTGGCCTTCATGATAAATTTTTCATATTCATTACTTGGGGACTAGGGAGGAATACTGGAGTGGATTTTTGCAGTATTGCGTATGCGCTGGGAATAGAGCAGTCGCGCGGAGATTGCCGAGCTTGCACGAAAAGCGGCAGTGGGGTTGATTGTTGGAGGGATGGAAGTGGTGGATAGTTTCTGCGCCTTCTCAACATGTCGTGTACCAGCCTCAGTACAACCGTGGACCCTCCACGCGCTCGGTCTCGATAAAGAATCAATTTTTTTGTGTAGAATTTAGATATCTTATGCCGGGGAATTTCAAAACAACGACATCTACTCGTCAACGGAATTGTTATGGAAATTTCAATTATGATAGTGTGCCAGTGATTTGTGCAATGTGAAGGATTTGTTTGAAAAGAAAAAAAACGGAATTTGTTATTGAAGAAGGTAGTGTAATGAGCAACCGCGACCATATGAATAACCTATTCCAAGCGACCTGTTAAACTCCCATTATTTTTTTATAATTTTTCTCTCTCGTGTTACTATTGCTTGAAGTTTTTTAAATAGTTTGTTGTTGCACGTTAACAACAACGGCCACAACTCATAGTCAGAAAAGATTGAATAATCCCGGGTGTTTTAATGAGAAGAGCTAACAGCAGCAAGCCCAGCTTAACTATGATAAAGCTCAACGAGATGAATAATTTTCATCCTTACACCCCAGAAAAAAACATTGCTGGAGCATTCTCATCACCTCAAAGAGAACTTATGTAATCTGTAAAATCCTCAACTCATAGAAGCAGTATTCACGATCCAAGCGTGAGAGCCTTTTAGAAAGAGTTAACGACTAACGAAGAAGTGTCGGTGTATCCCTCTGGCACATGGGTTGTAAGACAAGAGGGGTAGCTTGCACTCAAGGTAAATTAAGTAGCCCATAGAACAATATGAGGCACTTTGTCCTCATAATATCGTGGTAAAAGAGTTACTCAAGAGCATTAGATTGAGTAATGAAAAGTTTTCATGAAAAAGGCTGAAGCCCCTTGGGAATAATCATTCATGCACAAAAGGGCACAATAGAAATGACAAATCCTTTTGCTTGTGGTATTTGAGTGTTGCCACTTCACCACCCGAATTGGAAACAATAGAACCTTCACTGAAGTACTGTGAAGCATTGAACCGTATAACATTCGTTCATCATTTGTGGATGAGTTAGTGGCCATTGACTAACTGCTAGTAAGCTCAGAATTCACTTTTACCTTAATCCAGTGGAATTCCAACTTTGAATACATCAGAGGCTTCGCGGATTCTCAAATATGCCTTCCAGCATGGGGTTACAAACGCTCCGCGGTTGAATTCATATGCTTGTGCGGTCTAGATTGAAGGGAATAACGCTCGGATTGACGTTGGCTAAATCCAAGCATGTAAGGATATCTGTATATGTACGTATGGTATGGATGATATCAGATCGTAGAGATGAATATCACGGTTGGACAAGTTCTACTTGTGGATAACGAGATTTCCATACGCTACCGAATATCATCAATGTCAATATGATGCGGTATCGATGACCCGATCGGATCGTTATACCTCTTGAAAACAGCTGCAGGCATGGTCCCTTCCTTATCTCACAAAAGCAATTTTTCCGGTAATCTTTGTCATTGTGAGAGACTCAATACTCCAATCCATCTGCATCACTCTTTATTGGTGCTTCTGGAGAGCACCAAACTCAAATTATTTTCAAAGAGCTTTTTTTTTCGTGCTGACTAGATTTGTGGGGATTGTATACCACTCATGAATATGGATGGGTGAACTCAAATTTCAGATGATCTAGATACACGGCGTAATGGAGATTTAAAGACCTCAACCCGTTAACTATTTTGACAGGGTGAAATTTTCCATTGGCATTTGCATGAGTGGACGAGGTGTAGGATTCGGTGCTATTCCAATACAGATTCATAAATGTTTCATACCATATTTGAATGCTGTTTCAACGGAATCTGTGGAAATGAAATGACCGATAAAGCCAAACGGCTAGACCATCAGTTTACCAGCACCATTCACCAATCCTCCTTTCTTACACACTGAGTCAACATTGTTTTTTTGGCTCAAGCACCTTTTTCTCTTAGTCTCCTTTTCATTTTGTTACCGGGTACCTTTACCACCGGGTAAAACCTTTTTCCTTACACTCCAATGACCGTAAGAGTGGAGAAACGCAAAAAAGTACTTACAAACTGCTTGAGAGAACAGCGAACCCAAATGGATAATGGGACAAGTGCTAGAGCCATCCTGAGAGTTATCCCCTGATAATATCAATCTCACCGTTATCAGCCATTTCCCTGAAAAAAAAATACACCCGTGATGATGAAAAATTAAGATAAAATCCCGGGGATTTCGTATTCTGAACACAGGAAAAGTTCGATGAGATAAGAAACGCACGTTCATAGTCCAGATCCTTTGCCTTTTGTGCCGTTTTTGTTGGAACAAAAAAAAAATTCTCCGCTCTCTGTGTTTTTTTTTTGCCATCCACTTTGGTCTCATCTCTGAAACTTTTCACGTTCAAAATTTACCTCAACTCCGGCCTCAAGGTGAAAATCTTCCACCCACTCCTGAAAAGGGACGTTCGGCAATTATTAATCAGTGAGACGGGTAGGAATTAAAAGAGGATGAATTAAAAGGCCGTGGTCTTGGGCCAACGGCTTTTGTTCCTCCCATGGAAAAGTTTTCGATTGCAAAAGAGGGAATGCGAAAAGAACAGTGGAGAGAATTCTGGTCCATCAGTAATTGCACCCACTGGTGAGACATCTTAGTTGAATTGGTGA